AGAGGGAAGGGGGGGGGGCAATTCCATTCCAACCAGCCCTTTCGGGCGTGAGTGGTTTAGAGGGTTTCCTCTTCTAACGCCCTTTCTTCCCCTTCGGGAAGGGGTTTACGGTTTACCCCTTCCCATACCTTGCCCTACCTCGGACCTGGACGGGGCGCCCCGCTAGGTGTCAGAGCATCCAGGAAGGCATCGGCAAGAAGGCCAAGCATCATTGATTTCACGAAGGATCTGAACCAACTTTGGCCTCCTGGGGGGCGGGGGGGGACGCGCTGATTTACTGCCCTCCCCTTCTTCAATTATACACCTCCAAGATGGTCCCAAGATGGCCCCCGAGGCTCCCGAGAGTGCCACAAGAGGGTTTCAAAGGCGCCCAGGAGGCCCCAAGAGGCCTCCAATATGCCCCCAAGTGGCCCACATGGGGCTCCCAGGAGACCCCCAAGAGGCCCCCCGAGGCACCTAAGACGATTCAAGAGGCCCCCAGGGCCGCCAAGAGGCCCCTAAGACGCCCCAACAAGACTACAAGAATCTCTCGAGAAACATCCGCAGAGACTCCGAGAAGCATCCAAGAGGCCCCTGGCCTTCCTGTTCGCCCTGCTACTCTTCATCGTACGTCCAAGCATCCATCTCCCTCCTCCCTCCTCCATCCTCCCTCCTCAGCCTCCCCTCCTCCTCCTCCTCCTCCTCCTCCTCCTCCTCCTCCTTCCCCTCCTCTGATTCCCCCTCTATCCTTTCCCTCTTGGGGTCTAACGGCCTGCCACCCATTTTTCCTCTGCGTGTTCCTCCACACGCCAGATCAGGGCAACTCGCCTGGACATCGTTTCTGAATGGGCTGGTGGGGTTGTACGAAGCGTCTAGAATATGGTGATACACATGCACCTTACATATCCATAGAGAGAACAACAACGAGCAAGGGAAGCCAAGATTGCAGGGATTACAGCCATCGCGTAGCGATACAACATATAACATCCGCCACTCAAGCTAAAGCTCGAGCCTCGGATGGTTACTTAAAGCCTCAAGCCTTGGGGTACAATCCGCGAGCTATACGATCGAGGTACTCGCGGCGTGCCTGGGAAAAGGTAACGGGCACTCGCTACTGAGACCTCTGAGCTGGGTCTGGCCGTAGTCGCCACAGATGTTACACAACCAAGTGCCAAGGCGAGAGAGAAAGAGGGAGGGAGAGAGAGAAGAGAGATACACAAACACATACACACGCACACACACACACACACACGCACACACACACACACGTGTACGCACACACACACACACACATATATATATATATATATACACGTGGAAACTGCTTCTGGCTGGGATGCAAGAAGGAAGCGTGCTACCGGGGGTGGAAGGCTCCCCCTCCGTCATGAGGCCCTCCAATTTCTCCTTCTAACTCTCATCTTTCTTCTCCTCCACCTCCTCCTCCTGTTCCTCGAACTCCCCCTCCGCGTTCTTCACACTCTTCTGCATCATCCTCCTCGTACGTCTCCTCCGCCGCATCCTCCCCCGTCGACTCTTCGCAAGAGCCTCCTGATGCTCCTCCTGTTCATCCTCCTGAATCTCCTTTCCCTCCTCGTCCTATCAATTATACTCTTCCCCCCTTCCGTCAGGTCTCAGTCGCTTTCTCCTCAACCTACTCCCTCCTCCTCGCCCCTCTTCTCCTGACTCACCTTCTCATCATCACCTCTTCTCGCCAAGCCAATGGGCAAGGCCTTTCTCATCATCTTCCCACCATCATTGGGGGAAGGCCTTTTCTCAGAAGGCCGCAGGGCTTCTCAGAAGCCCTGGTGCGTTCTGAGAAGCTTTGTACGCCTTCCCCGAGGCTGCGGGCGGCTTCTCAGAAGGCGCCTCTCACTTTCTCCCTGGTCGCCGCGAATCACGACCTGAATCATCCCACGTTGTGCGGGCTGCAGAACCGCCCGCACAATGAGCACCCCTACAAGCGAGGCCATTTAGCAAGCGCGCCTGACGAAAGAATCGAACAAACTAGGTTTGTTCAGCAAGCGCATAAGACCGTGTAGTAAGCGCCGATGGTGGATGTCGGTGTGTTTTTCTCTTCCCTCGACGCGTTCCCCTCTTCATAGGGGACATGGGGATGCGACCTGGCTCCAGGCCTGTCGGGGGCGTCACTTCAACCCTCACGTCATGTTTTGAGAGCGTGCAGGCGAATAACATGGATCTATACATATAGCTTAGAGCATGCGCGAGGCGGCTGATGATCTCCTGGAGGCGCAGTAACAACCCCGACACCACTGCCAACTCTGGCCTTTACATCTGCTCCTGCTCCTGCTGCTCCTCCTCCGCCTCTCGGTTATTCACTTGCAAATGCCGCGCGGGGTCCTTGCCCGACGGAGGCGGGGATGGGAATGTCTTGGATGCCGTTGCTGTCGACGAACGACTGGCCGGACGGGTGGGCGCGCATCAAGGTCCCATCAAGCAGAGGAGGCGGAAACGGAAGATGACGGTCTTCTACAATTCTTTCTCCGTCTCAGCTCGCTCCTCCGCTTCCTCAGCTAAAGACCCCATCGGCGACAACTACATGGGCAATCCAGCTCAAGATGTGCACTCGATCCGCCGCCGTGTCCCCTGGCAGGGATCTTCAGTCTTCTAAGGGCATGCCCCCTCCCCCAATAACATTCCACGTGCACCGCCCCCCCCCCCGGAGGCTTCCAAGATGCCCAAGACGACTTCTAAGACGCCCCAGGCAGGCCACCGAGGCCACGAAGACGGCCCAAAAGAGGGCCCAAGGTTGCCCCACTATGGGGTCTCCAAGACGGCCCAAACAAGGCTTCAAGAGAACTCCCAGTAGAGCTAGAAGAGGCCAAACTCGTTACTGCGGCCATTGTGGGTGTCTGGATGAGTTTCGAGTTCTTACCTTGCTAAGCTTCCGCCAGCCCAAGACGGCCCACAATGCTTCAGAGATGGCTCTCAAGACGGCCCAAGGTGCCTCCAAGACGGCCCACGGAGGTCTCAAGGTAGCCCAGGAGGTACCCAAGACGAATCTCCAGGGGCACCAGAAGGCCACCCCCATAGGCCCAATGAGTGCCCAAGAAGAGCACCCTAGAGGCTCCCAAAACGCTGCCAAGAGACCCCCAATAGGCCCTCACGAAGTCCCCAAGACGGTCTGAGAGGGCCCCAGCAAGGCTTAAGAGGGCCCACCCGTAAGCCTCCCCAGCAGGCGCCCCAAACAGCCCCCAGGCAGCCAACATCAGCTGGGTGAGAGCCCCCCAGGATGTGGAGACGAGAGGCGTCTCTCGTGTGACGGACTCCTGGGCGGCACTCGAGTGGTCGCCACAAAGAGTGATGCGCTGATGCGGTGGCGGATGTGCTGCAGGCGACGGGACAGGGAATGAAAGCTTGGAGGTCGTCGCAAGGGGGGCATCGTTGTTTCCAAGGCCTGATCCCAACATGCACGGCGGGTGCGTTTGCTCCGTCGATGGTAGCCCTTCAGACCCCATCGCGAGAAGATCGGATCTTAGGTTTGCTCAAGCCGACAATTGGGTTGCTCAGGTTTCTCTTACCCTACGAGCATTACCCCGTCGCCCCATAAACACCTATTGCATTCGCTTTCCCTCAGCGGGCTTCACAATAAACGCCAGCGTCCAGCTTCCAGCTCATGTGAGTGGAGGCACGCGGCGTCGCGCAGAGAAACACGAGACGCAGCAGCAGCTGCAGTGACGGAGGAACGAGAGCACGGGGACTGGTATGGGAGCAACCGCAGGAGCAGCATGCGGAGCGAAGGGAAATACACGGAGAGGAATGCTGCGCAGTGGGAATTTCATGTGAGCGACGAAAATAGAACGGGCTTTACACAAGACGACCTCGCGTCCTTACATGGCGGATCACACGGGTCGTCAGCGCGGCGCGCTACACTGGAGACGAGGGCAGCTTGCCCGCCAATGTCGGAGCAGACGACCCCGTTTTTTGGTGGCGCGCTCAAGAAGGCAGGAGGAGGAGGGAAGGCGTCTTGGAACGAAACCGCTTCTTGGAAGGCGCCGGCCCTTGATCTGCAGACAAGGCCCGCGCCTTCTGAGATGTAGGGGTGCTTCTAAAAAACCCTCCCCTCAACCCGTGCCTTCCCTCCCCCTGCGCGCGCGTGGCTGACGTGTGCCCAGACATGCGACGTCCTGATTTTTTCAGGACGGCGTCCCTGGAAATCCCGACCCTCTCCCTGGGACCTTTTAACGACGACATGGGAGCGAAGAAAGCCTCTGAACGTTCCAGGTAGGCTGCGATGGACTAGACCACGCTGGGCGCCCCCGCCACCCCGACCGACGCAGAAGCTTCGGCCGACATGTCTGGAACGCTTAGAAAAATAGTATCCAATAGTGCTCGTCGCTGCAGGGGCCCTCCCGCGGTCGAGGGGGTGCTGCCTCGCGACTTCTGCGGCTGTGCGCTGCAAAGGTGCTGCTCGCCATAGCGGGAAGTCAAAGCGGAACAGCGGAGATTACCCTAAACCTTCTTCTGGGGCGGTCCTCTTGGGAAGGGGGCCAGCATATTGCCCCCCCCCCCCCCCCCCCTGAGCCATTACAGACAAGCTGTTAGCTCCTGGGATGAACGAAAAAGCGATTCGAATTGAAACGTTTGCCCGATGGAAGGGCGCCAGACGGGTTCGTCAAAGAGAAGGCCTGCCACGAAATTTAGCTAGAGGGAGAGGTGTAGTGGGGGAAGTCTCTGTGAAGCAAGCGGCGGGAGAAGGCGAGTGGAGACTAACTACTGTGGCCGTGCGAGCTCGGGGGGACGGACTTGCGTCAGCTTACTGCAATGATAAAAAACTGGGCGGCCTCAACATCAGCGGCGGACTCATCTTCCGAAGCATGCTCAAGAAGGATTGTGCTCGAAAAAGTATGCCTGCAACTCGGCTGGCGATTGGGGCCCAGCGTCGGAACTGTGTAGAGCATCCTGTGCTGAAGCCGTGTGGTCTGCATCTGACGCAAGTGGTGCTGGCATCGGTGCTGGTGTCGGGTGGCTCGAACCTGGAAGTGTTTCTCCATCTGTAGGTACTATGCGCCGATCTGCTTGACGTGTTCCAGCCAGACTGAGATCTCTTCTTCCATCCAGCCCACTGGGGCGGGGCCCACGTGGTGGCGAGCCTCCCCCTCGGCGCGGAGCCCGTCGATGACGAACTTGCGGGCTGGCGAGTCGTGCGCTCCCATGGCCAGCGAGGCGACGTTCGGGTCGTGGGTCTTCTCTATTCGGATGAAGGGCACCTGGTCCATGAGTGCTTCCACGTCGATAGTCGGGTCCTTGGCCTCGTCTGCTGGTTGGCATTCCTCGAAGTAGTCGGTGATATGCTGCTCCACGCGCCCTCCTACCTCGCAGGTGACCAAGCCCTCCAGCATCGCCAAGACCAGTGCTGGGGTCGGCGGGCCCAAGCGTTGGAGCGCCTCCTTGTTCAGTTCGGACTTGAACCCGTGGACCCGCTTGCGAGAGCCCTCCAACTCGTCGCTGATGTGGGTGAGAAGCGGATGGGTTACTGCTTTCGTCCAGGTGTCGGCCACGGCGCACATGAGCAATCTGATCTAATGAATGTTCTGTAGGGTAAGCGTCATCAGGGCCATGAGGAGAGCGTGCATGTTCTTGTCTTTGTTCGTCCAGCTCTTGTCCGTGTGGTGGCCTCTGTGGGCGCGTCGTCCGCCTCTGCGCCGGGCTCGGCGTGGTTCGTCGCCCTCCTCCTCCTCCTCCTCATCCTCCTCCTCCTCGTCCTCCTCCTCCATCCCCGCGGGCTCGTCGTCTGCGGCTGCCTGGCGTGCTGCTCCGCGCCCTTGCAGGCGTGGTCGTTGGGCTGGTGGTTCGCCGTCTTTGGAGCCGCTGCCAGAGCTACCAGACTTGGTCGAGGACGGTGGCGGGCCGCGCCAAGCTGCTCTCTCCTTCGATGATTTGACCTGCGTCGCCTGGCTCGCGCTCGCCATCTTCAGCAGGTGTGGCTGTGTGTCGTGCGAGTCGCTGAGCTGTAGGTCGAAGTGCCTAGCTGAGTGCGCGTCAGCGCACGTGGTGTAGTGTAGTCCGTCTCGTTCGTGTAGTTGTATGCTCGGTGTTGTGCGAATCACCGAGTAGTCGGTCGGTCGCTAGGAGCACTTCGCGTCGAAGGTGTGCTGTATCGGCAGGCTTCCAGGCTGGCGCTGGTACGGATGGCGGTCGGGCCGACTCACCGTGCCTTATGGCCGTCCGCGCCGAGCGCGGTACTGTTTTGAGCCAAGGTCCACGTGGCGACGGAGGAATGTGTGTGCGAGGATGTGCTCGGAGTGCTTCGGGGTCGTGATAGTCGCGATGGCAGTCGACGGCGGTGCTAATATTTCCCAAGGGGAAATTCGTGCGTGTAGAAGGAGTCCAAGAGTATTTATGTAGTGTGCGGTCGACGAAGCAGCGAACTTCTAGCCAGGAGCGACGATGATGATATTGGCAGAGGCGCACGTTTCCGTATAATTATGCTATCGCAGACGAAGCATTTGCTGTCGACCGTGATCGTGGAGGGAATCGTGCTCATACCATGCCCGGGGAGTGCTGCCGTCGTCTGGTGTGATCTGAGTGCTGAAAACGGGCCGGCGCCCCCCTGGCGAAGGCGCCTGCCTGCGCGGCCGTGCCTCCCCTCCCGGCCGGTCCCGGGCCAGTGCCCAGGGCGGTCGTCGTGCAGGCCTGAAGGCACGGCCGCGCAAGCAGAGAACCCAGACCTCCGACGTCGCGAGAAACTCACGACGAAGGTGTTTGACAAGTTTCGGCCTCGGGAATCTCAAACATCGCAAGACCGAAGCAGGTGGGAGGGGAGAACGAGAGCAACAGGATGACCGCACACCCACTGCCAACGCCGGGGGAAACTAAAAGGGGCCGACACTGCTGCTTCCCGGACCTCTCCATGGCTGCGTTCTGACCAGGATGTCGAGACGAGGCGAGTCCAGCGGTGGCGACGAGGAGGCCCAAGAAGGCGAAAACGAGGGAAAGATAGGGGTGGTATGGGTACCACTTCCTCCTGTGAGTGGGAGCCCGCCAATACGAGGGTCAGCAGCTCTCTGCACCAGCACGTGCGGCACCGCCTGGCCATCGGCTCGCAGTTGAGTGCGGGCGGTGACTAAACTCGTTGGGCCCCGCTGCGGGAACGAACCGGGGGCAAGGCAAGATCGACCCACACGCGGCTTTGGCGTGCTGCGAACCGCCCTCCACCCACAACCTCTCGGGTCACAGTTTTGCCCGAACGGGGAGGGGGTCTCTCCGAGCCCCATTGGGGTGCGATGCTTGATGATGGATGCGACGATGTCTGACCTTTTACCGTGGGCGGCGTGCCCTGAGGGATCCGCACCCGAAGGCGCAGAACCCCCCCCTTGGAGTGGCGGGTGGGAAAGGTGCTTTCGCCAGATGGCCACAGACGAAACAATCACAGTTGCAGGCGCCGCGGAAGCGCCGTGGAAGCGGCGCTGAAGCTCCGCGGAAGCAAAGTGACACCTCGCCCAAACAGTGCAAACGCGGCCGAGCCCCTCGAACACCAGGAAGAAGTGCAGTTATCATCGCGCTCGCGACACCAGGAGTAGGGATCCACACGGCGAGGCACACCACGGTGCAACGGCACTCTCAGAAACGTGTTCCCAGAGGCCTCTTCGGGAACATGTTCTGGGAGGCCTACAAACATGTTCTCAGAAACCTCTCTGGGGACATGTTCCGCGAGGCCTCTCCGACTCCCAGAACCCAGAAACAAAAACACCCACGGCTGGACCCGCCGACCGCCCAGACAGCACGCCCACGCCCAGGCCTCGGAGTGCCTCGCCCCCTGTGGGGTCCCACAGCATCGAATCGTCGCATCGGATCGGGATCTACATCGAATCGGGCTGCATCGGCACGGAGTCGAAATCGAATCGGATCGGCTGCGCCAGGATGCACAGCAAGGCCACGAGAGCATCGGGATCGAAGGAGATCGGGCCAGCCAGAATCGACAGCGAATCGGATCGACCGGATCGAAACAGACCCTGGCAGGGCAGCCCCCCCGCCTGCAGAGCGTCCAGGGGGTGCCGCGAGGGGTCGTAGACGCCCCCGAGGCTGCTGTCGCAGTGGGCGTGCCAGGTCTGCTTCTCCTCCTCGCCTGCGTAGCTTGGGGGGGGGGGGGGGGGGGGGGGGGGGGGCTGCTGCTGCGGGTCCTCCTCCTCCTCCTCCTCCTCCTCCTCTGCCTCCTCCTCCTCCTCCTCCTCCTCCTCCTCCTCCTTCTGTGCAGGCCTCCGAGATGAGGTCGCGGTCGGAGGATTGCACCGCATGGCCGATGCATCGCCGATGCGTCGTCGACGCATCGGCGACGTCGGCGTGGAGAAGCTTGGGCTCCACATCGAGCCGCATCGCCGATGCATCGCCGGTGCATCCGCGATGCGGCCGCCTGCGCACTCCGGCCCAACCCGGGAGGCCCAGATCCTGCCCCGTGCCAAGCTGCGCCCCTCCACCCTCCAGGCTGGCGGCGCGCACACAGGGGGGCAGGGGCAGGAGGGGAGGCGTCTTCGAGGGGGCTGCTTCTGAGGAGGCGCTGGCCTTGCGTCTATAGGCCCGCGCCTTCTCAGACACAGCCTCCTTCTAAGAAGGCTCCGCGGATACCTCCGTGGGGAGGGGGGAGGCGCCCTCCAGAGGGGAGGCGTCTTCGAGGGGGGCTGCTTCTAAGGAGGCGCTGGCCTTGCGTCTATAGGCCCGCGCCTTCTAAGACACAGCCTCCTTCTAAGAAGACTCCGCGGACACCTCCGTGGGGGGGGGAGGCGCCCTGCGGGGAGAGGGCAAAGGCCTAGCACCGGCCCTCTGCCCCTCCACCAGGCGCTCCACCAGGCCCGCGCCCGGTCCTCATCCGCGTCCTGCTCCTCCTCGTGCGCCCCGCGATCCCCCCCCCCCTCCCCCACGCCCGCGCCCAGTCCTCCTCCCCCTCTTCATCGCATCTGGGCTGGAGCTGTGGTGCCTCGGAACTGCTGTGGTCCATGTCCCCCCCACACAGTCAAAATTGGCGGTGGGTTTCATGGTTTGTAATTCGACCGCGGTCTTCCCCGCGCGTACCAACTTTGAATTTAGGGGAGAAGAGTATTGTCCACGTATTGTTTCCCTCTACCGCATGGAGCTTCACCACCCCGGTTGTCTTCTCACCGGGAAGCCTTCGAGGACTTCCTGACCTGATCTGACCCCACCATTTCCTGCTCAGCATCCTCCTACCGCTGCTGCTGCTGCTGCTGCTGCTGCTGCTGCTGCTGCTGCTGCTGCTGCTGCTGCTACTGCTAGTGCTGCTGCTCCTCCTCCTCCTCTTCCTCCTCCTCCTCTTGCCGGTGAAGTCCGAGCTCGGCCGGGGCCAGGTGTCCGTTCAAGCGGCCGGGCCGCCCGCAAGCCTGATCTCGCTGCTGGCTGGGTCGGGCGTTGCCAGGCGTGCCCCCATGGTCCGAGGCGACTTCAGGTCCCAGCCCCTCTGGCGGCCGCCCCGGGACCCACCTGGGCCTCGTGGTGGGGGGCGTCGCCCCGGGCGTCCGACGCCCCTCTCTCTCGGACGCCCTGGGCCACCACGGTGACAGGCCTGCACGTGGAAGCGCTGACAACGCACAGCTGAACGCGCGTTCGCGTTCCTTGGATCGCTCGGGCGTCACACGAACGAGACGGCATCGTCGAAGGCGGCCGACCGTCGAAGGCGGCCTCCCGCCCCTGGCTTCCGGCGCTCTCGACTCCTTCCCGAGAACCGGTTTGTTCGTCCCGAGCTGTTGTTTCACGATCCCCGGGAACGGAAGCGGCGTCGTGGCGCCGAATCTTGCGGGTAGGGGGGTGGGGAACCTCTGGCGCCTTCCTTTCGATTCACCAGGGAGGACTGGGCCTGAAGGTCCTGAGGGCGCCCCTGGAACACCTGGGGCCCTCCCCACGCCCAGGGGGCACCCTCCGGCGACGCCCCGGTGCTGGGATCTCCGAGGAGGCCTCTCCGTGGCCTCTGGGAGGCCTCCGTGGAGCCTCTTGGGGACCTCGTCTGCGCAGCTGGGAGGAGGAGGAGGAGGAGGAGGAGGAGGAGGAGGAGGAGGAGGAGGAGGAGGAGGAGGAGGAGGCCGCGTGCAAGCGAGGCGCGTCACCGTGGGGGAGCCGCGAGCGCGGCCGAGGGCGCCCCGAGAGCGGCACGAGCCGCCCCTGGGCGCGGCAGAGACAACCCTGAGCGCGGCAGGCGCCGCCACCTCGGAAGGGCACGACGGGGGAAGGCGGGACCGAATCCGCCCGAAGGACAGGGTTCCTGGTGGTTCCCCGGCCCGGGACCAGCTTTTCATCCTGGGCTGTCCTGGGACAGCCCTGGTGCCCCCAGAGGGCCCAGGGACCCCAGAGCAGAGAGCACCTCCAGGACACCCCAGCTCCAGGACCCCCTTTGACTTCGTGGGGGGCCTCGCGGGATGGGGTCGCACACAAATAGGAAGCCAGAGGGCACGTGGTGCAAAAAGCCGGGAGCTGAAGGGGCATGCGGGTGCCCTCGACGTGTGCGGGGTCGGTCCGTCGACCTGGTGCAGCTGCAGGCCCCCCGCCCAGACAGTTCTGCGCCGATCCTGCCCCCCACTTGGGCTCCGACGGCCTCCCAGGGACAGGCATGATGTCCAGCCGTTCGGCTTGCCAGAAGCCTTTTGGAGCCTCATTTGCGCCTACATGCAGGAGGAGCGCCAGGGAACGACTCACCGTCGTCGCCACTGACGACCACGATGAGGACGCTCACAGAGTGCCCCCCCCCCAAAAGAGTCGTCCCCCTCATATGCATCGCCAGGTAACCTTTGAATATTACCAGCCCCTCGAACTCTGCGGACGTTTCGCGTTGCTGTAGCGCGGTGCAAGAAAGTCCTCCAGCCTCGAAAGGGCACACAGAAATCTCACAACCCTCAAGCCTCGATCCTCCCCCAAAGAAAGGTTGGCATGAAGCAAGCGGGTCCTGAAGGAAACGGGTCCTGGAATCCAG